CTTTAGATGCACCATCCTTGGAAATACGAGAGAAACCCATAACCTTTCTATTAAATGTTGCAAATGTAATGAGGGTGTTGGTAAGATAAAACATTACACCAGGCAGCCAACACCTCTACCCCATTCTGGTGGTCTGTCTGCCCAACCTGCTTCTGATCTAAAGCTGTCCTCTTTTAAGGAAGCAGGAGATCGGAGGAGGGCAGCGATTTCCCTCTGCTCCCATCTGAACTCTAGAACGCCGTTTCTCCTTACCTCTGTTGTCCAGGTGCTTTCCCCCCACCCGCACAACAGTTGTCCAGGTGATTTGTTCCCCAACATGAGACAAGGCCTCAAAATGGGGCACAGATAGTCTTAAGTGTAGCTGCAAATGCATTTTGTAGAGAAGGTAGTGGTCCATTCCAATTTTATCTCTCGAGAATTTGGTAAAAAAGCGTAATGCCAGGCGAGCAAAAGCACGTTAATGTAAAATTTTTCACAGGTTTCATATTCAGTGTAAATAAACCAATTGACACTTGCCAATATATTTATCTTAATGATACGCAAGGCTTGCTTACGTGGACATGAATATTTGGAATAACGATGACATTGCTTCAAGTTCTTGCTTTAAGCCAAAAAAGAATACAATTTTAGGAAAATATTTTAATAATTGTCGTAATAACAAAAACACATTTTTTAGCAATAGTCTTATTTAAATGGCAATCGGGTTATTGACTTGGCCTAGTTTTAGTTTTAAAACAAAGATTCTACCAATCAAACAGAATCAAAATAATTTTGCAGAATTTTGATGAACTACATCTTTTTCGCAGAGGAAAATAATATTGTTCAATTTAACACCAATCACAAATTGGTAACAAGAGGAAAATGTGGACATTGGCAATGCTTATGGGAAAGATACGTTTCTAATCAGTACTAACATGTACAGCCTTCAATAAAAACAAGTCATGAGATTATAAATTATAGCACAGAGCAATTAAGTAAATTTTGGCATTTTATTGTTACATAGAAAAAGTTGGTGGAAAAATAAGCAAAAGCTTTTTCATCATCCCTTTCTAGTTTATACAAACTACAAACGCCAACACACTGCAAAGGGCTGAACCTGCCTACTCAAGTCAAAATGCCACTTCAACAAGTGCCCACTCAAATCCACCTACATACAAAAAGGTTCGGCACAACTTTCCTAGGTTTTCTGAAATCAGTTACTTTAGAGGCCAAAAGTAACACGTTCTACGGCTAAAATGAGCATAATTTTTGTCCTAACTGTACATATGGCACAACGTTTAAAACATCCACCATTTGGTTTGAGTTTTAATACAGACAGCAACTGAAAACAGTTTTAAAGCTGTAATGTAGAATCTGACTCTAAAGTCCTTTCCTACAATTGTGAAAAGTACCACTTAACTTATCTGACAAGTAAAATTACACCAATCTGAGTATAGTGATGGACATAAACCTTAAGAGGCACAAAGACTAAAAAAAAAAAAAGTCAGCCTTCTACCACCACTTCTACCTCTACCAACATACATCACCAAGAATGAAGTACTAATGTCTTAGCTAGGGGGAAGAAAGAAAGAAAAAAACGTATTCATCCATTTATTAGAATGAATTACTGCAATGGTGTGTTCACAGGTACAGCCTGCATCCTCACTAAAGCTAAAAAGTGGAGCACATCACCACAGTGCTAAAGCACTTATACTCTTATCTCTTAGACCAGACTTTAAAATAAAGCTCTTAGTCTATAAATCGCTGAATGGCTTGGGACCAAAATACATTACAGACTTATCAGTTTATCACCTGCCCAGACTTCCCAGGTCTTCTGGCTCAAGTCCATTTATCTGCTACAAACTTCCCCAAAAAAAACTTTGAAAGTATTGAAACAAAGTTGTATTAAATCAAGATTAAAATATGTTTAAAATAGCCTTTGATCATGCTAACATTTGTTTAAGCTTGCCCCGTCATATATTAATTCTGATCCATGTTGCCTCGGAGACACAAGGCAAGAGGTCATTTCTGGAAACTGCCGAAAGGGAAATATAAAAACAGTCATGCCTTACAAAAAAGTTTTTTTTTTTTTTTTTTGGAACAGGCATTGTAGATGTCTAACAGCAAGAGTCAATTATCTCAGCTTTTAACAACAACAAAAATATTGGCCTCCAAAACACTCAACCCCAAACAGAGAAATTTCAGATAATCTGTCATAACCATTTGCATGACAGCTGGAAGCCTCAATGTACATTGCAAAGGGAGCCTCTTTGCTCCATTAGCCACCCCTAATGCCTCCCTGTGTCCAATGCTCTAGCGGCACTAAGTATTGAGTTCTGAGAGCATCAGGGTCTCAATACCTCATTAAACATTGGGATAACACAACCCCACCCTCCCATCCCCCCACCCCCCAAGAGCAGGCGCAAACTCCACACACTTAGACACAGATACGTCTCACTCACACACACAACGCTCAATCTGTGCCCGTTTTCAGTGGCAAGCAACGTACAAAAGATAAGTAAAAGCCATCTGTGATGGTCAGTGATTAGTTCATCTCTAATGAACAAAATGCATATAGAAACGGAGGAAAGCACCTGCTCTTTAATCATGGAGGTGCCTCATCTGGCTGGTGAGCACACAGCTGAGCTGGTCAAGGATGGGACACTTTTGTATAGACAATGAAGATTGGCTTGACTGTGCAGTTCATTAGAACTGACAAAGCAGTGGGACAAAAAGGCCAAAAAATTTAAGAATTGAATAACATAGTGGTTTAGAATTGCAGCTGAGAATAGCAAATAAAGCAATAAATAACAATAGATTGTGTTTTTAACTGGCATTCATTTATGCACTGTATAAAAACATTTCACACTTTGACAGAATGTACTTGATGCTGGAACCTGACCAAGATTTTAATCGTCAAAATGCTTCAACCAACAGAAAGTGATTGATTGTGATGAAAGAAAAATGTAACCACTGCATGTCTTCCTGATACAGCAAAACTCTATTTTATTAGTCAATAGAAAACAGCGCTTGCCTCATTAACAGCTGAATCATTTTGGCATATAAATATAGCCCACTGTTGCAAGCTGAATTTCAGAAAAATTTAGAGACGTTGGATTATATTTCTTTATAGTAAAAGTAACAGTGACAATAACATTCACTGTTATGAAAGTGCTTCGTCTTACATTTCTAACTTTCCAAATGAGTCTTCAAAAACTTGTGTACAATCCCTTCAACTTATATCCACAAAATGAAAGAAGCAATTCCACAATCAGGAAGACTGACATGCTTTTGATTTGTCATCGCACTTTCAAAGGGTTTTTTCTGTATAGAATGCAAAATGGCGTGACATTTATCCAAACAAGGTGTCCAAGATAAACATTTGCCTGATTTTCATTGACATTTCATGTTTGAAGGCACTCCTTTGCACAGATCAGTAAACTACCACCAGCAAACCATTATGTGCAGATCTGATCTTGCTCTAACCTTTTTATTTAAGTCGCATGTTTTTTTCTCCCCTGTTCTTAGTTA